AGTTAAGGACCGGGGGCAGGATCCAGCCCGCAAATTAATTTTGTTGGCCCCCGGGATGATATTTTATTAGTTACAGAGCCATACAAGCAAATTGGATTATTATTTTTATGTTCAGGACATGTGTTTTATCTTTGAAGGAGGTTTGTTTTTGTTTGTGAGCCTGTTGAAAAATGTTTTCAAAAAATGTAAGTACACTTTACCCACAATAGGCCGTAAAGATGGCACCGTGGCAAGAGCTCTGGTGTGTGCCGCTGTTGCACACTGGGGTAGTCTTGCACAGTTTTTCCAATGTGGTTTTACTGCTTATGGCAAATAAATGAATCTGAATCAGAATATGATTATATGCCAATGTTTTTCAATATTGGCCCACCTCTGCATCGTCCCGCCAACAAAAAATGATTATTGAAGTTTTATTTGGTAAGGTTTCACTAAACTTCTGCAATCACGCTTCAAACACTTCAAATATTCAAGCTTTCCCTGAATAGATGCTGATCCAGTGGTGCCCTGTGCTGTTTTCACCTTTAAATCATCATCAGCCTGAGCACTGCTGCTGTCAAATGGAATTAGTTATAAGTTAGCATACCAACACCATGACTCCATTCTTTATCCTCTCAAATTTGAATTTCACTGTATGGAACACTGCTATTGTATTTTCTATACACTGACATAACATTTTTTTTTACAAAGCTGCGGCTGTATCATTTTCACATTTTCATGGTCTTTGATCTGAAGTTACAAGAGGAGGGTGAAGAGTCGGGGCACTGACCTGGAAACCCTCCCACATGGCTGTTCTCAGCTGGAGGCTTCAGTGTTGTCATGTCGCTCTGAGTCTTCCATAGAGTCCACTAGAAGATTTACATTTTCACCGTACTAATTGCAATTTGAAAAGCGTAATTTTCTATGGTTGGTTGGCCTTATTGGGTGTAGCCACAGAATTCCAGAAAATCAGAGTTCCATAGTAGCGTAAAAAGAAGCATTTCAGTTTTTTGTAAATGGTTTTAGCAAGCAAGCTGCAAGATATAAAATAATAGTCTAGATCTTAATATTTTTCGACAAATGAAGGTGTGGTTTGTTGCTTTGTTTTGATGGTTTGACTTCAATGTTTTATGCTGTTTCAATCTGAAGAGACCAAGACAGAAACATTAATGCATGGAAAATAATTATTTGTTTGCCGCATTTGCAGAGGGTAGATTATCTGCTGCTGTAGATTATCTCAAATCCCCCGGGGTCAAGCACTGGTGGTGGCTATAGGCATGGTGTGAATGGGGCGTAGGCGTAGCAGGAGCCAGAGCAGGAGCCAGAGCAGGAGCCAGAGCAGGAGCCAGGTCTGGAGCCAGGTCTGGAGCCAGAGCAGGAACCAGAGCAGGGACCCGAGTCCCTGGAACCAGGAGCTTGAGGAGGCGCTGGGGAGGCAGTGGGTGTTAAGAGCCTCAGGAAGTGGCTGCTTTTAAACCGCCCGCTTTGCTGTCAGTGGGTTGGCAAGAGGCTGGCCGGGCCGAGTGATTGGCAGGCCCTGGACGGGTGAGCGCTGTGGCCGGTCTTTCAGTCTGAATTTGCGCTTCAGCTTCATTTTATGCTATACTTTATTGCATAGTCTGGAAATAAATTGGCCGTATTTACAATGTATTTATTTGTTTGTTGAAACCTCATTAGTGAAGTGTCAGAAAACAAATATCAGCTCCATGTATTGTTACGATGAGGGAACAAGTTTATGACATGATTAATGAAAACAAAACGTTTTCGTCATGTTTCCTTTCGGTATGATGCACAGATGTACTTTGATTGCTTTAGGAGAATGCATTGTTTCACTTGAAAACTAAGCTTCTTTTTATACTCTTCTTTTCAACTGCAAACAAAGCACAAATGTTCACAATACATAACAATACCTCTGGCGTTGCTGATTAAACCAAACTTCAATTACTGCAATTCCAACTCATATACGTTGCTGGGATGCATTTCCATTGTCAGAGCACAGAAAGAAAAAAAAACCTCTTGTCGCTTGTAACCACAAACAAATGCAAAATGCCTACAAATGATCAGAGCGGCGAATATGAAATGCGAATGATGAATGAAAATGGTGCTTTGGCTGACAATAAAATGACATTATCAATCCCGGCTCTCCTCTGCAGGCCTCGTAACTGTTTGTAACACGCGACGGCTGCTTCACCAAAGAAAATGGTCTTGAGATGTAATTGTCTTACACTTTGATTGGACAAGCATTTCGTGTTTTCGCTACAATCCAGAAGTGTCCTCGGTATTACATTCAGATGCAAATCCTCTCCCCACATCATATTTGCATATCCATCCCAGGCGAACAATACAAATAGGCGGGACTGATACATTTTAATCGGCGTGGAGAAATTAATGATTTGGAGATAAAGAAAAATGGTAGGTGAGGTGGGAAAAAACTTGTTTACGTAATAATAAAAATAGATTGAGTTGTTTTAAAAAGCGATATATAAAACCAAAGACACAAAACATTTTGAGTTGCTCAAAGTTACAAATTAAACTAGAAAGCTTCTGTGTTTCACTCATCCTTTCAATGCCACTAGGGCAGGGGTCTCAAACTCAATTTAGCTGGGGCCTGCATGAGGTCAAATCTGCGCATGTGTTTTTCTGTATGCATAATATTAATGGTTATTGGCGGAAACTTGTAAATATAGAATTAATCCACTAAATCTGTACAAGCGATTGGCTTTCCACACACAGTTGAGCTTCTGGAATGATAAAAATATATATAAAAATTAGGCCTGTCAAATTTATCACGTTAACGCACGTTAATTCATTTTTTTCATTAATTGACGCATGCCCATGCATCCCATAATAACACTCAGAATGCTCAGAATAAGATGGCAACAGAGCAGGTAGGCCCTCTGGGAATCCACATTTTAAAAGAATACATGCGTGACCGCGGGCCACTTTTGCTGTAGTTTCCTGAACATGAACTCTGTGAGCTGAGCTGCGGGTGCTCTGGGCAGCGGTTCCCACCTGCAGCAGCTTATCCAAGACCATACACGCACAGAACTATTCTCTGCTTGTAATGTGCGTGTCTTTGCGTAACAGGTGCACACAAAAAATACAGCGCTGAAGCTGGACTACGGGGCCTCAGTCTCCTCCGTGTCTTCTCTCAAAGCGCACTTGCTAAATTAAAGCTGTCCCTCATCTGTAACAAACAATAGTTTTGGTCTGAGTCTAAACAGAAAGACAGAATGTTAATACTGTTAATACCATTTTATATGGATTTATTGTTATAATACACAAATACAGTACATATGTACACTATGCTGTCCTTTATCTTTCCATTCAAACAACCATTTACAGCAAAATATGGCATCATTTTGCTGATAGTTTGAAATTCAATTAATTACGATTAATTATTTTTTAAGCTGCAATTAACTCGATTCAAAATTTTAATCGTTTGACAGCCCTAATAAAAATATGTTTTTCAATGGTCCCATCTTCTCATTAACAATAACAGTAGAAACTAAGAGAGTTTGTGGAAACTTAGTTCATGGCTCATTATTTGCATCTGTGACCCTTTATATTAATTATTTCTTGTGTTATATAATGTTATATATATTTCTTTGAGCAAAATTAGTGTATAGCTACTTGGATAAAAATAAAATTGGATCAAAGTCTTTGTATTGTAGGTTGCTGGGCTGAATAATGTTTTGAACAATATATTCTGTGCTTACTAATTGTGTTCAGGGTTCGATATTTATGGTAATATAAATGACATAGTTGTCTTCTTCATAAAATTACCATAAAAATTATGTATAACATGCAATTTGAGAAATTCAACTTTGATATCCACTGGGGGCCACAAAAAACCTTTCTGTGGGCTGTAATTAGTCCATTGCGCGTTTGAGACCCCTGCATTAGGCAACATGTCAGGAGAAGTGGTCGCCACAGTACAGAGGCTGATGCTCATCGTTGGTCAGGACAATGGTTCTGGTGCATGTTTTTCCACACGATCAGAAAGATGCAATCTCCACACAGAACGCCCCGAGCGCTACCCATTCTTGGCATCAGTGAGTGTCTGAATCATCAAACATTTATGTTGATGCCATAGCAGATAACAGATATTTATTTATATCAAGTATTTATTTAAAACAGAAAGCTGAGAGCCACAATGACTAGTCGTGTTGAAAATCAAAAGTTGGCGTACTGTGAAACGAGTATTACGTCTGTGCTGCAGAGTAACTTCCAAAGGGTGGAACCTAATAAGCACAGAGCACAAAGTGGGGTCGATAGTTGTTATTGAAAGGTAGGCACTATGTTGAAAAGATCCTTGAAAATACATAAATCAATACACTGTATTAGATTGGAAAAGGTTGTTAGGGAAGCTATAATATTTACACAAAGACATAGACTTCCTGACATTTACCTCAACTGAACTGAGATGATTGAAGTGCCATTCGATGCATAACTTTTAAACATACATTAGGTCTAAGAATGTTCATTTTGTCTGATTTTGACCTTTAATTGATTAAATTATACTGAGGTATGATGGTTGTAATTAAAATAGGGCTGGACTTGACTGTAGCCAATAAAAAGGCAACAGATTAAGGCTGTGAATCTTAACGAATGTGATTCATAGGATAAAGTAAATTTTATTCAGAATAATTCACATTCAGAAGCGAGAGTGAGCGTTTGTGTGTGTGTGTCTGTGCATGTGTGTGTGCCTATGCGTGTGCTTCCACTGTATGTGTTATGTGCTTGCAGACAGGCATAAACACCTTTACTATATTATCACAGACAATGTAATGATGGACTAAGGACAACTGGTTTGGGAGAGAATCCAGTCTTGTGTGGACATTGAACAATTGCGGTTCTTTATTTTTCTGTAACGAGATCTCCAGATCATGCCACCGTGGATTTGGACGCAGTTGGAAGGTAGAATGAGGTTGGAGGAAGGATTTTGGGGTGATGTTGAGACCTTCATGCTTAAATAACAATAACACCATGAAATATGAATGTAGAAAAAAATGTAAATTCACTTACTGTTTGGCCATGAGCAGCAGTTCCCGAGGACACTTCACTCGCCTCAGCTGACCCATGGATTTTACCAACTTCGCTCGACACAGAAACCCACACACATACAACCTTACACACACGTCTTCTCAAATGCACGGAAAGTTACGAAGCAAAACACACGAAAAGGACAGAATCTCCCAAAATATGCTCTCTCATTTTGAACGATCACAGACTTCTTTTCATGATGCCAGACCTCCTCCTCTCTCCACCCTCTCCAGACTGCAGTGATAAAAGCTTCCATCAGCTCGCATTTTCTCGGGCCCTATCATTATTAGATGAGCTCGGATGCTTTGTGGCCGGGAGCACAGTGCTGTCTGTTTGCTGCATTCATACATGAGGTGTGTGCGTGTTGTGGGGATCTGTGTGACAAGAGAAAAGATGGAGACAGAGCAAGGGAGGCCGGTGAAGTGATGACTGTTGACACCGGCATCGGAATCACCTGGGGAGCTGTTCTCTTCACCTCAGTTGTATGTGGGCGTCAAGATATTGTGTGTTTCTGTTTTAGTGCGGGTTAAGCATGTTGTGATTGCATGTTTTCTACCCGAGGGTTATATCCACTATGTGCGATGATTCTCTATACGGTATGCTATATTCTATAAATGCTGTCTTTGTGTGACGTTGTAAACAACTCAATACCAAGGTCTAGAGGTGTCTCCCGTATGCACTTTTTTGCATTTTAAAAATTGCCAATAAAAAAGTGTCAGAGTTACACGGCTCTATAATATTTTATGTTTACTTCAATATCCCAGTTGTGCCTGTGTAAATGATCAAAAAACCTGCACAGAAGCTGAGCAAAAAATCAAGAAGTTTAAGTAAGTAGTAAGTAAGTAATCTTTATTTATATACCGCCTTTTCACTGCAGATCTGAGTCTCAAAGCGGTTTACAATTGTTAATTTTTATTTATTTATATATTTTTTTTTGGGAATTTGTCGCTCACTCCACACAGAGATGGGAGCGGGGTCGCCAGTATAGGAGGCACATGCCAGAACTATTGGACATATTTTTAGTGGTAGGGGAAACCGGAGTACCCGGAGGAAACCTACGCAGATACGGGGAGAACATGCAAACTCCACTCAGAAAGGCCCTGGTCCGACCGGGATTCGAACCCCGGACCTTCTTGCTGAGAGGCGAGAGTGCTATCCACTCAGCCACCGTGCCGCCCAGTTTACAGTTATTCTCTAGCAGTAAACATATAAATGGGTTGCCTCCTTGTTTACACTGACAATACAATATATCGGACAGTTAGACGCTTTGGAAATGTTTAAATCACATCTCAAAACTTACATTTTTAAACTGGCTTATTCTTTGTAATTTTATATAATGTTTTATATTCTGTACTTTTAATAATGTGTGTGATTTTTTTTTTTTTAATATATGGTAAGGTGTCCTTGGGTGTCTTGAAAGGCGCCATTAAATACAATTAATTTTGAATATACTGTATGCTCTACTTCTCCAGCAGTAGCTTTTTTCTGGACTTTCCATTTGGCCTTGTACACAGAAACACGCGCATTCTTTTCACACCTTTTATTGGTACCGTGTGGCGCAAGCTGCCAGGAATGTCACAGCTATTACCGGTCCCAAAGTCTCCGGAAGGGACCAAACTCAGCCAGCTAATTAACCTTTGTGTCATAAGCTCATGCCTGGATCATGCAGACACTGTATACCTCACATATCTGCAGCCTTTTATTAAACTATGAGACTGCGAGACAAAAGAGAAAGCATTGACTGGAATGTTGAGCCATTTTGTGTTCTCTTTCTCGTGTGTAAAACTCTAAGTTGGATGTTGATTCATTTAAATGTACTTATTTTCTTTGAAACTGCACAAATAACAATCTCTTTCCCAAGATTAGCAATTTTTTTTTCATAATTGCATTAAATATAGGTGGCATACAACACAATTCATACATGTGTGAATATTGTATGTTTTTCGTTTTTTGTATTTGTGTATGTTTTTTGTATTTTTTATCATGACTCAAATCAAGAAAGCTCATGCATCTCTATTGAGTGACAATTTGACATACCAGGCAGTTACATTGTTTTTTTGTTTTTTTTTTTTGCCATAAACATGTGCATCGTGTATACAATCTCTTTACTAAAATTATTTCTACACTTGTCAATAGTTTTTCCACTAGACCTGACTAAAATCTTCTCATCACGGCTCACCAGCAGCTTCGCCCTCCTCCGTCGCAGACTTATTAATTCATGTCAATATTGTTTCCGGTAACACACACCCTCCGCGCAGCCTGTTGCTTTTATGTGCTGCTGTCGAAAATGCAAACAGCCGTCGTCTCTGCTGGGACGGTCCCGCTGTGCCGCCATGTGCCACCCGCCCAGACCAACGCCTCTCCATTCATTTTTTATCACAGCGTCGTTTATTGTGGTGGTGATAGATTTCCCTTCTCTGACGTTGGCTGTCAGACTTTGTTACACATCACCCAAATCCCCCTTCACATTTTGATTCTAATACTAAGCACTGAAACACTAGCTATTCAGGAGGTAATAGTTACTTTAGGATTGACAAAGTTGGAGGTGCAATGCCAGCCAGACTCATGAAATTCATAGGCAACATACTTCAATTTCAATTCTGTTTCAAGAGAGTTTCAAATAGATTGCATTTAGACCTTCGCTCATAGAACATTACGTGACGACCTCTTGCAAATTGAAGCCAATCCATGATCAAGGTTAAAGGCAGCTGATTTGAATGTTCCACTTTGGGAAATTGCAATTTAAATAAAGAGCCAGTTAGGTTGTTCCTTCCCCCTCACAACCTCTCACGACTCAGTCAAATGCATTAGATTTCAATCAAACAAATGTAATAGCGTGCAAATAATAGTGAGATGGTGTTGGCTTTTGCAACTTGTTGTTGTGTGCTATGCCAAGAAACTTCTCACACCACATTCACAATATTCGCTAATATGGGTGCAGTGATACAGATTGCAGAATTGGCTTCTCTCAATTAGCCTCAAGGTAGCACTTTGAGAAGTATTCATCAAGGTTTTTGTCATCAGAAAAAATCTTCATTACGGTGGTGAGCTCATGGCTTATTCCTCTCAACAAGAAGGTTGTTGTGGCCAAACTTGCATGCGGAAATCAGATCCCGTTAGACCTCTGAAGCTGTGCAGGGCAGAATCTGGTTAATACTGCGATGGGAGACCTCTGGGAACTCCAGGTGCTACACTGGGGCAGCTGGACACTTAAAGGTCCTATATCACGCTTTTCTTCATGTTTCACACTCAATCCTATGCACATGTGTGATAATAATGTGTATGATACACCACACAACAATCAAAGCTTGTGAGATTAGAGCCATCTCTTGTATAGAGGTGACGTCACCTCGACTCAAACGAGCTGATCCAGAGAAGAGTCTGCTCCTCTGCCTGTGAGCCCGCCTCCCCCGCCCGCACGGTGACGTAGCATCACGCTCTTGTCGTTTATCACTGGTACATAGTCATTTCATACATAAGAATAAACTTTCTCCAACAATGACAATCAGTCACATCGAGCCCTATGTCCTCGATGCACAATCAGACCCTAGTTATTTAGTTTACAGAAGTATACAGCGAGTTAGCGTCACTACTTACAGATCGAGGGGGTCCGAGTTACGTCTTTTACCGTGGGAATAACGTGTTTCCAGATCAGCTTTTGAGTAAGTCCAGTTCCATTGTCCCTGTAGTTCTGGAACAGTCTCAGTGAAGTGTTGCAGATGAACCGGTATTATAATAGATCCATGAGATGAACAGATGAAAAAAGTCGAGCTGCTTTCTTCCTCTTAGGGCCAAATAGTGTGTCACATATTTACACCAATAACACACTTCATTCAAGTTGACGTGATCCTAACACTTTTAGTTGCTGACAAAAGCATAAAAACAGCAGCTCTATGTGGTGTCCGCGAGACCAGACCACAGACGCTGGACTCGGGAGCCGGAGCCTGTGCGCTCTGATTCGCTGTTTTGATCACCTCCCGCCGGCTTTTAATTTATTTGTGTTTTTATTATTTTTGAAAACAAACAGCATAATAATTGTGTATTGTTTACCCCGTTTTGACGAAAGTATTTAAAAACTATTTTAAATACAAAGCAAACGGGGTCATACGGAAGAGTGGACAAGATGGCGCCGGAGTGTCTGGTGTGCCGCTTGGCTCTGCTCAGTTTTATACTGATTTTAACGTATTTTACGAGGACCATCGACTCACTGTTGGTGTATGACCGTCAGGAATTGTTTAAGATCAGGGAGAATGTCATCTCATGTGCGATCTTCAAGTCAAACAAGTCAGATTCCTCCTACCTGTCCGGCGTGCCTGACTTTCTCCTCCGTGTGAACGCGCTTGTCCCAAGGAAGCGCAGACGCCGCCGTGGAGTGAGAGCTGGCAGGCTGGTGAAGCTAAAGGCCTGGCTGGCACTTTCCCCGAGTAAGGCACGGGCCTCTATACCATGGGAATATAGTGATTGCTTTCGTCGGTATGCCTCCCGGCGCACGCCTGTTCCATTCCGGACTTTGTTGGTGCCCATTGTCGGACAGCCCGATATGGACGTATTTACGCTGCGCCCGACCCGCTCCACTCGCCGGGCTGGCGGTGGCGTGACTCCGGGCAACCTCCGGTCGCTGTGTCGAGGAGTTCATGGGGCAGCAGATCTTACAACATGCGCGCTGCTTAATGCGCGATCGATCTTGAATAAAACTTTCATTCTACAGGATTTCTTCAGCGCACAGGCTTTGGATTTATTGTTTGTTGTGGAAACCTGGATTAACACCGGTGAGTCAGCCGCCTTTTCAGAACTATTACCTCCAGATTGTACATTTATCAATGCGCCAAGGACTACTGGTCGCGGAGGAGGAATAGCCACTGTTTTAAAGAAGCACGTTTGTCATAGGGTTCTATCATCAATGTCTTATGATTCATTCGAACTGAGCTGCTTTGAGCTGGGACAGACCGCTCCTGTGCTGTGTGCTGTCGTTTACAGACCACCCAAGCACAATAAAGACTTTATCAATGACTTTTCTGATTTCATGGCCTCAATGTTGACCCAATATGACAAGATTTTAATTGTTGGTGACTTTAACGTGCATGTGTGCTGTCCGTTAAAACCTATGGCCAGGGAGTTTTCAGACCTGATTGAGGCATTTGATCTGTCACAAAATGTCACTGGCCCCACACACATACATGGGCACACGTTAGATCTTGTATTGTCGCATGGTGTCTCTGTTGAATACGTCTCTGTTGGGGATGCAACTTTCTCTGACCACAGTCCTGTCATGTTTAGCTTTAGATTGGAGAAGGTGGCGCAGTCAGCTCCTGTGCGTAAAAGCCGGGTGATTAAGTCAGACACGGCTGCAGCTTTTGCTCCACTTTTTGTTTCATCCGCTCTTCCTGTATGCTCTTCTCAATGCATGACGACTGAACAATTGATGGATGCTTTCTTGTCCACCTGCACTGCTGTTTTGGACAATGTCGCTCCTTTGAAGGCTATGCGCCCAAATCGACAACAAGAGCCATGGATTAATGACACTACACGGGCTGCGCGGGGGGTGTGTCGCCAAGCTGAGCGCAAATGGAAACATGACCACTTGGTGGTGTCTCATCAGATTTTGACAGAGAGTTGGAGAAATTATCAATGTGTGGTCCGAACTGAAAAAAGCAAGTTCTTATCAGAATTGATTGCGAGTAAAGTAAGTCAGCCTCATGTTCTTTTTAAAACTATTGGCTCTGTTCTTAACCCGTTCCAATCCACCACACTGGAGATGACAAGGGACACTTGTGAAAAATTCCTCTCATTTTTTAATGGTAAAGTCGCTACTATTAGGGGAAATATATCAGTTTTGCCACTTGCTAATGCTGTTGGAGCCACTCTGTGTGCTAATGTCTTTAGTCAGTTTGAGCCTGTTTCACTGTCTGCACTTACAGAGTTTGTGAGCAAATTGAAAACTTCGTCCAGTTGCACGGACCCTTTCCCACCTCGGTTTTTTAAAGAGGTCTGGGGTATTATTGGAACATCAGTCACAAAAATTATCAATAGCAGTCTTCTTTCTGGTATTGTTCCCTCCTTTTGTAAAAGAGCTGTTGTCGAACCATTAGTTAAAAAACCAAGTCTTGATCCAACAGTTCTATCAAGCTATCGGCCCATTTCTAAACTTCCGTTTGTGTCCAAAATTTTAGAAAAATGCGTTATTGCACAGCTGCAACCTTTTCTGGAGGCCAATGGGATTTTAGATACTTTTCAGTCAGGTTATAAAGCTTTTCACAGCACTGAGTCTGCACTTTTAAAGGTTTTTAATGACTTGTTCTTAATGGCAGACTCTGGTAATTCTTCCATTTTAGTGCTTTTAGACCTGACTGCTGCCTTTGACACAGTGGACCATGCGATTCTTTTAAATAGACTTGAACACTGTGTGGGTGTCGGGGGGACCGCCCTTACCTGGTTTGCTTCTTACCTGTCGGGGCGGTCCTTCATTGTTAGGCTGGGGGATTCCACCTCATCTTCTGCCCCCCTCCACTGTGGAGTCCCTCAGGGATCAATGCTGGGCCCCATCCTCTTTTCTCTTTATCTCCTGCCACTCAGTGAGATTTTTAAAAAGCATGGCCTTTTTTATCATTTTTATGCGGATGATTGTCAGATCTATTTTCCCATCGCAAAAAATGCTTATGGCCCCCTGACACCCCTACTCGACTGTCTATGTGACGTCAAGGCTTGGTTGGCCCAAAACTTTCTTAAAATGAATGATAAAAAAACAGAAGTGATTCTCTTTGGGGCCAACCAGGTGGATGTGGGACCGCTGAGTGAACATGTGCGTCCCACAGTCACCAACCTTGGCGTCACTATAGACAGTGATTTTAAATTTGACAGGCAGGTCAACAGTGTTTTAAAATCGAGTTTTTATCATCTGCGGCTTTTATCCAAGGTTAAAACTTTTTTATCTTTTAACCTTTTTGAAAAAGTTATGCACGCTTTTATTTCTTCACGTCTGGACTACTGTAACGCACTCTACTCCGGTATTTCACACAAGGCACTTCACCGGCTACAGTTAGTCCAGAACTTTGCGGCACGGCTTTTAACAGGAACCAAAAAGCGCGACCACATCACTCCCGTCCTTGCGTCCTTGCACTGGCTTCCTGTTCATTTTAGAATTGATTTTAAGATTTTATTGTTTGTTTTTAAAGCTCTGAATGGACTGGCCCCTCCTTACATCTCGGACCTCATCCAGATTTACCACCCGCCCCGCGCACTGAGGTCCGAGAGCCAGCTCCAGCTCGTGGTGCCTAAGACGAGACTTAAAACCCGGGGGGACAGGGCCTTCTCTGTGGCTGGACCAAAGCTCTGGAACGCCCTGCCCCCCCACGTCAAAACAGCTCCCTCGTTGGAATGTTTTAAGTCACGTCTTAAGACCCACTTTTATTCTCTGGCTTTTAACACCGCGTGAGTCGTGTGGTCCTCTGTGTTTTTATTTTATTTTATTTATTTATGTATTTTCTTATATAAATGTGTGTATTTATTTATTTGTTGCAATTTTGCATTTTGTGCAGCACTTTGGAAACTTCGTGTTTATGAAATGTGCTATATAAATAAAGTGGATTGGATTGGATTGGATATGCGTCATCAGTGTGGTTTTCGTCACTGAAGTGGACCCGAGCGTTTCTGTGCCTCACGCTGGGGAAGGAGACAGATTGCTCTCTTACTAAAGATTGACAGAATCAATGAATAAACTACTCTGGGCATGTGTATGAAGGCCAAATAGCATTGTAATCATGTTTAAAGCAGAGAAAAGTTAAAAACCGTGATATGGGCCCTTTAACCCGCATTGTGAAGAATGAGTCTGATGTGTGTGAATGATTGGTGGTGGTCGGAGAGGCCGATTTTACATGCTGGTTGCCTCTCTTCTGTCAGTGTGCCCCAGGGCAGTTGTGGCTATTATAGTAGTCTATCACCACTGTGTATGGAGTGAAAGAATAATAACATGTGAAGTGTCTTTGAGTGTCCAAATAAATGGCTATATAAAACCGATGAATTATTATTATTAAGAAGGTTCTTGGATCGATTCCTTTTTGGTGGATTCAGAATGTTGTTTCTGGGTGGGTTTCTTGCATTTGGAAGCATGGGTCAAGTGCAGGGACAATACATACCAAAACTTAGTATTGCCAACATTGGCAGCAGCCTGGTTGATTTTTTGGGGTTTTTTATTTTTATGTTTACAAAAAGCATTTGAGCCAAACATAAAACAAACATAGTCAATTATTTTTTTATTGACAAAGAAAGCAGGCTACACAGTTTATGGTGTAAAGGTTTTCTTGATTCTTTAAAGTGTAAATGAATAAGAAAAACCTTATACATTTTAGAATAAGTGGTTGTTCTCTATTTGATGTTGGCTGTCATTTAGTACTACATTCCCCACCCTCCCCTCACCCCCCGGTCCCGGTCTCATCAGCCCAAATGCTTTTTTCTCTTTTCCTCGTGTTAGTGGGGCGGCTAACTGTTCATGTCATCTCTGTGCTGTGTGCGTCACGGTTTCCACCCCATGAACAGCCTAAGCTTCTGTGCAAACATGCTGAGGAAGAGACATCACAGCTATGCGTCCTTTACCTTCTGGGACAGGGACCTAGAATAAGGGACCAGTCCAAGAGCTGTGAGTATAGACCTGGATCTGCCGCCTCAGTCCTGGATATGCAGTTTGTTCGTCTATGGGAGCGGTACCCCCTCTCTAAATATGGGCCTTCCCAAGGGTTTTCACCCCTTTACCCAATGGGATTTTTGAGTCGTTCGTTGTCAATGCAGGAGGATCTAAAGAAAGTGATGTGATCCGGGACTTTTATTAACATTTAAGGGCACTGGTCACCCTGCTTTCTTAATTACGGGGCAATGGCTTCTATATGTTAGCTTCTATTGCATATGCAGTGTTTGATCCAGGGGTGTCAAACCGTTCCTCAAAGGGCAAGAGTGGTTGCAGTTTTAAATTCCAACACCAGACTAATCCCATTTCCTCAAGTGAGTCCAGTCTTAACCCAAAGATTGTAGTTTGGAATTAAAACCTTCAGTCGCACCGGCTATTTCTCGAAACAGTTTGACACCCCTGTTCAACTGGTTCAATCTGTTTGCTGTCGTGAATTAGAGCTGTTCATAAAACTAAGAAAATTAAAATCTCTAAGAAAATATCCAGACAATAAATATTGAGAAAGTTGATCAAATTAAATTATTATTAATATTGTTTTTATTATTATTTAACTTATCCCTATTCCCTTATCCTAATGTTTTGTGTCTTCAATGTCGGAGCCCATCTATAATCTTTGCATAGCTTCCGAGGTGTCCTCTTTTCACAATGTCAAAGATATTCACACAATTTCAATATTTTGTAAATCTGTGATGTTGTGAAGAATAAAAATGGAATTGAATCGTGGCAGGCCTAGCTGTGATATTAATTCATGTCACCAGCCCAAAAGAAAGTCACAAACCCTCGTATTTTTCTTACATTACAAAACACTGCTTCTGCAATGTCAAAAAGTACATTTCCATCCAGTCAA